CTTTGGCCATGTTTCTTTTTCTTTTTTTTTTTTTTTAAGTCATCCAAAATATTCCACATTCCTTCCTCCTTCTTTATCTGTGTCTGTTCTGCTCCTTCATCTCCTCCAGCTCTGTTTTGTGTCGACCTATGCTTTCAGAAACCCGATAAGCAGCTGATACATATGTGCCACACCACGCCCTCTTAAGTAGCATCAACATTTGTCCATCCAGCCCTTTGGAATACTCCCTGCTTTTCTCTCCTTCAGACTCTCTCTCTCTCTCTCTCTCTGTCCAGGCTTTTAAGACGTTCGTAAAAGGAGGTCTTATTGACAAAACAATTGCTCGGCGGGGCTTAAACACTGCCTTTAAAGGGGTATTATTAAATTGCAGGCAGGAAGGAGAGGGGCAGCCAACAAGGGAAACCTGATGACCTCGACATTGATTTTTACATCACCGGAGCGTTAGGAGAACTTAGCGCAGAGATACTGACTGCATCCACAGAGAGACTTTTTATATGATGCACATTGAGCTTTTAGCTGCTGCCTGTATTTAATGCTGTATAATTGTGTTGCGTCTAAAACACTTTGATAGGGTGGCTGCAGTTAGATATGCATTCAGATAAACCTGAGTCTATTTCAATCAGCGTTAGCTCTATATTGTGAACCATTAGTTAAACTCAAGATTACTTCTCTCCTTAAACTTGTGATGCTTGGGGTTTATTTTGATAAAGATTTTTCTTTCTCTTAAAATATAATTAATACATATTTTTTTCAAAATTTGCTTCTTATATCATTATAAAACCTTAATGTAAAAATGTTTTTGTATTATTTGACTAAGGTATATAACCTTTACAGTCAGTAACAAATAACAGCTTTCCCTTTTTTACCCACGGGGTTGATTCTTTCTAAATTTTAGTTTTCTTTCCATAAAATTGACCTACAACTCTTTTTTAAGCTTCTCACCTCTTTATTAAGGATACTTTGATTTACTCCCATTTTCTGCTGATGCAAAGGTGTCTAATTGAACTTTGTGCTATTAATCTAGATTATTTTGAGTCCTCTTTTAAGGAGCATATTCATAATTACACAGAAAGGCTGAAAACTTTATTCATTCTTATTGAGAATGAAGTCTTTCTTTTCTTTAAATGTAAAATTGAAACAAGAAAATTGATTCTTTTCCCTGTTCTTACAGAGGAAATAGTGAATTAATCTATTTGCTTCACATGTTGGACTTCATGGAATTGAAATGATTTACTAGCCAAAGCTGTTTACTCGTCATTGTTTTTAACTCATTAATACCTGCAGGGTCTTAGAAATTCCTGTAATAATCTTTAACCTTAATTAAAGCTATGCTAAACTTTCTGTAAAGTGGGTTAAAAATCTGTAGGCATGTTTCCTTCTTGTATGATCACCATTCAGTTAACCTTTCTAAGTAAATTAAAAGGAAAAAGTTCTGATTCAACAAGGTTCATGCTATTTTGTGCAGGGTGCTCTACCTGTCCACGCAATGTATCTCTAACTTTTCTCATCTTGATGTACGTTTTCTGTAAAGCCTGCATTTAGGCCTGTGTGTCAATTCTTTTTCTGCTCTGTATGAATCTCTCACCATTAAAATTGAGATTCCCTGGTGTGGCGTACTTCTGCCAATAATTCATGAGTGATCTGCGCCCCTTGCCGGCCTTTAGCATTTTTATTTAATCTTGCCGTGCCCCACCACGTGCTCGCTCATCAATAATGCACGGAGACATGTGTGTTAACACATCCGCGATGCGTGAGAGAAAAGAGCAAAGGGAGAGAGTTATACGGCTGTGCAGCAGATAGAAGCACATGATGATAAAGAGATTGTGTGTTCGTAGCGTTGTGTAGCTGTACCATGTGACGGGACGTACATTTTGTCTGTAACCGGCACATGTTCCTCTGCTGGGATGATATAAACACGGATGACCCGTGGTTCATTTGTGGCCGTTTGACATGAATTAAACTCAAATGACTTCAGTACAACTCCGAGCCACACTCCCATTAAGAGCTCTTCTCTCACTGAAGTGGAATTGGGTTTGCTTACAGACAGTTACACTTGCAGAGCGGATATAACCGAACACATGTCCCTGTGTTTTTGAGTGTTTGTGAGTGTGAATTTGATCAGGTCTACGTGTGAACAAGTGTGATTTTCCAATAGCCACTGACAAACAGAATCACATCTAGGGAAATTGACTTCCCTAAATCAGTGGGTCAGGAGGTAACATCACTAAGGGTTGCTATGGAGACACCCAATGACGGGGCTTCCCATCCAGCACAACAACACGCCTGTGAAATGGCAGTTCCCCTAACATAACCTACCTCAGTCTCCTCAGCTCTCTGTCTTTTTTTTCATTTTTTCCCCACCTCTCTTCCTCCACTTCTAATCATTTGCTTCCTGCTATTATCTCAGTCTCCTCTTTTTCTTTGTATTTCTTTAATTCTCAATCATCCTTTCATGCCACTACTTGCGGCTCACTTGCTGAAACAACCAAACCATGCATGGAAATCTGCCTGTGGACAAATACCCACACACGTACACACACACTTGTATACAGCGAGATGTGAGGGGGCAGCAAGATCCCAGCGTGCAGGGTTTAACAGCTAATACCCCTTAGATTAACCACCCCCGGTTCCTCTCTCTCACACACTCGCTCAGATGCACACGACATCTTCTACAAACCAAGATTAGCCACCTACGATTTGCACAGTGTGTGTGGTGGCCTTGCTTTTTCTCCCTCTCTCTCTCTCACACACTCACACAAGCCTTCAGGGTTTGTTGCCATACCCCTACAAATAAACAAAACAAATGAGAGCACACACACTCAGGCTTAAGTGACCAAGCTCCAGTTCATGTGACTGTCCGTCTGTCTGAGTCTCTCTATCTCTTGCAGACATACCCACGGACACTATCACAGCTGTAAGAAGTGATCCCCTTTGGATTTCAGAGGTGGGGGGTCACGTGATTTGATAACCTCCACAGGATTCCCTCTGGTCAGGATGCAGAGTGTGTGTGTGTCCTGGGTTTAATACTTCATAGACTGATACATCATATCCTAATCTAACGCCTTTCTATCTCTGAGGTCTCAGATTGAACAATGGTTGGGAATAATGTTAACATCATTAGATGGCTGGTAATGAGGGTCTATCAGACCTCATCTTTTCCCCTCCTTCTTGTCCTTATCTTACCCTTTTACTCTTCATCTATTTTTCACTCTTGCCAGGCTGGTCATCACTTTCTTCCACTGCCTCCCTTCCACTCTTTCATGCACGTACCTTGCAAGGCACTTTCAAGGATTATTTTAAGGGCTGCACAGATCAAACACATTCTGCCAGGGCCGTGCCTCAGTTACCCTGGCTTCAGCCCCTTTAATTAGACATGGCTAATAACGCTAAGCATGTGCTGATAGCTATCTCTCTGATAAGACTGGCTGCACCAAGGCATAGGGCCCCTTTCTACCTTTAACAGTGTTACCTAAGGTTAAAACGGATAGTTAGCAACCTTATTTTATGAGCCTAAGCAGTCACACTTGTTTGCAATTAGCTGCCAATTTTCAAAGGCAGGTTAGCAGCCAGGCTATAGACTTCATAGTTTCGATCCTTGTTAACAAGGATGACTTTAAATGCTAAAGGTCTCATGAAAAAAACTGTAGGTAATAGAGGTGTAAGATACACTGATAGTAAGAAGTTACATTAAGTTGTGCCATCTTGTTGCAATGTTCTCTAAAGGGGGGCGCTTTTTGTTTCTACGTCCAACATCACTATTTCAGACTAAAAAAAAAAAAATTATTTACTGTAGATGCCCAGTGAACCAAATAAACTAATAAATACTGCTAATCATTGAAGTTAGCACTACCAGTTTCAACAGAGATGGGTAGAGCACCCAAAAAGCTTGCTCTAAGGCTTTCACTACAGATTTGTACCCGAGTAAAAGTTGAAAATAGTTGCTAAAGAAATTATTCAAGTAACAACAAAAAAGTAATTGCAAAATTACTTCTCACATACTGAGTATTTGCTCAAATAAATACTCTCAAGATCATGGTAAAATACAACTACTCCTAATTTTTCAAAAAAATACTCATGTAAATGTTATTATACACCTCTGAGCATATATAGCCAGTACGAAAGTATAAAAAGGTAACAGACTTGTTTCAAACAATTAATACACACTATGTTTATATACGGAAGGCAGACAGGAAGTTAGCATCAGGTAGTACATTTATATATCATCGTTATAGCCAAAGAATATTTAATTCTAAACACATAAAATAAAGTGCACTTAGAGTTGTGTAGACATAATGTTGTATTTTTTCAATAAATATATAGATTTCTAGAACTGAACTGAGATTATTCTAACATGTTTAGGTTATTTGGGTTTTGCGAAACCCTTATATTGTAAAAAAAAAAAAAAAAAAAAGGAAATTCAAAAGCTTAAGAAAATCTTGTCTTGTTTAATGACCCCTTCGATTAGGTTGTTTTTGATGAGCTGAACATACCGTTAAGAACTACTTATATCTCATAACAGAACAATAATAAATGAGAAGTGTATTTCCTCATTCTGGCTAAGTACTGTCATTGACTGAGGCAATTAAACCCAAGGATGAAAACGAATGTTAATTACAGGAATGTTAAAACAGAATCTGTGAACCCCGAATGAATTGGCCAAACCTCTATAATTACCCTTTAAGCCACCACTTTTCAAGTGATCATCCTCATCTAACTTGCACATGCTGAATGGTGTTATTGGATTTTTTTTTTTTTTAAAGATAGTTAATTTACATGGATGGTCATGTTGGGGTTGAGTTAAGCAGTTGGTTTGGAAAAAACACTCCAGGCCATTTCTCCTTAGACGGATTGATCTAGGTGAGGAGAATTCAGTAAGAGAAAGAAGAAAATAGGGGAGGAGGGGAGGCATTAATTCCAATCATTAAGAACTAGGATAGCCTGGGGCGACCTCCCCCCCCTCCTAAAAACATCGACTGAATGTAAACTCTGAGATGTCTTACCAGTTGTTCACTTGTAGGATAGTAAGGCCTGTGTCCTGCGCCAGCTGTTTCTTCTGTTCTTCTGAGGGGTAGGGATGCTGCAGGAAGGGAAAGAAATATGTTAAAAAAAACTGAACACAAATTGCTTAATGAAGCTTCTTGTTTTGTGGAGAAAGAGTTTGATGTGCTTTTTAACAGCAGTCAGCCAAAATAAGGTAGAAATAAGTTGTGTGATCTCAGTCTCATTTAATGCATATGTGTCAGTACGCCTGTGTGCGTATCTAGATGTATACTGTAAGTCTGTGTGAGCATGAGCACATTAATAAGCTCCCCACACACAATTCATTAATGAAATATGAAATCATGTAATTAATGGCAGCCAAAAAGGCAAGCCAATTAGAAAGTTAAGTGAAGTGGAGAACCAGCTCTGGTAATTAGGCAGCCTCTTACACAAATATATTGGCATCAAGCCCCCCCCTACCCTTCACCCTGCTGCATATGTAATCAGTGAGAGGGGAATGTGTAGCCTTAACCCAGTGGATCACAGACAAGTGAAGATTGTTAACACTCATATAGTCACTCATATAGTCTTTTTTTCTTGCTGATAAAGCTCATAACGTTGTTAAGTTTGCTCTTTTTGTTGTTGCTTTGTTTGTTACGTTCTCGCTATGAAATATCAAGTACATCATCCCTACCTTTTGTTCTCCAGCTTAAGATAGGAGGAGGGAATTCCCAAGAAATGTGCAACACCTTCTCATTGAGTCAATTAGTCCAAAAGTGTGGGCTTTAAAGGATTGGTTAATTTTTATTTCTTTTGAACAGCTTCTGGAAAATGTCATTTTGGTACCAAAGCTGCGCAATAAATGTTTCACAAAAATCAGCCTTTCATATCAGGCTTTATCAATAATTATTGACTTGTGTTTTGGTTAACAGTATGAAATAAAAACTAAGGGGAAAAAATAGAATTTAAATTCTAACCCTTACCCTATTTGACCTTTAATCTTAAAATATATCTCAGCCCTTTTACTGGCATTGCATAGTTTAATGTTAAGTTAAAAAGGCAAAATCTTTTCCCTAACATGCAGTGTGTTTCTGGATCCTACTTCTGTAAAACTATATCATATGTGTTTTCTATTAATCTTTTAATATTGATCATGTTAAATATACCAATATTGATGTATTACCCAGCTCTAAAAGGTAATAGTTCATCATAATATCAGTGGCACAGAAATATGGTGGAAAATACTATCAGTCTAAAACTCCAATAGAGATCATTAGTATGTTTATTCCAGCATGTTGTATCTTTTCCCCAGCATGTTTTAATTTATCTAAGTTCAACCTGCTGAGTTTGCAGTCAATTTTAGGAACCTTTTCTTCTTGCTTTGACATCTGAGTTTGCATTTTCTCTGTGCGAAAAAAATCCAAAATTAACTCTTTAACACCTTTAATGAAAAATATTTTACAAATGAAGAGTCTGTGAAGATACCAAATGGAGTAAAATCTTGCAGTCTTAAAAGATGCAATGCCTATGGTCAAAGGTTCATCTATGAAAGCACTATAGGGTTCCTTTACACCCAGTGTCAAACCATGATAAGATCACACATATCCACACAAAGAGATTTAACTTATGTATTAATGCTTCATACCATCGACTTCACATACCAACTTCTTTTTTCAGAAGTCTTGCGTAAGAGCTCTGGTGAGTTAGACTCCTAATATTTGGACTTATAAAGGAAATGTGAATACATATTGTTCTGAATCTTGGAGGGTTAAACTAAGCCTGTTTTGAAGTGATTTTCCGGCTTTTAAAACTTCCCCCAGCCATAAGCCAGCTGAAAACAGCTAAAACTGAGCCACCTGTTTAAATATATAGTGGGCGGATATGCACTTAAGGAGTATGTGGATTTATGTTACAGTGTGTGGTATTATGGTTGCTTGGTCTCTTTCATGCAGCACAGTGTCCGGTTGATGAGTAAGACATGTCATGGTTTGTGCTGGAGACCATAAGCAGGCCATAAAAAGAGAAGAGGAATGACGAAGGTAAGCAAAGTGGGAACGATCTGAAAACACTCGATATTATTGTACGTACAATAATATAAGATATGTTGATTAAACAAAATGAATTAAAAGGGTTTCTTTTACTCCTATTTGCTTAGTGAAAACAATAAATGCCAAAGGGAAAAAAAAACTTTATGTATGGTTATCTATTTTCATGACATTTATTACTTTCATCCCAAAATAAGCTGAGCAACAGTGACATCGCACATGTGGTACACAGTATGCCTAACAGGCCGATACACTCATGATAGTCAATCAGACAAGAAAAATCAGTCCGGCGCCAGTCTTTTCATTTTTTTTTTATTACAGTTTTTTCAGCGCATAATGAACAGGATTGTGTTTAATGCTGAGCAGGGAGGAGAGCGTGAGAGGAGACTCATTTTTCTCTTTCCCCCAGCATTCCCTTATCCATGTGATTGGTTGCGGGGAATGGAAACACAAGGAGGCTAATTTCATGCGCTAAGTTATAATTGCATTGTCGCCTCTGGCCAAATTTGTGTCCACTTCACTTCATCAAACATTTTTGTACTCCTCTAGATATGTATGTGTGTGTGTGCAGACATTACTGTGTAATACGCTGGTGAAGATTCTCAGTCATCCAGGTCATAGTCATTCCAAAAAAAGAAAATGAAAACAATCCACTGGACTTAGTTTTCAAGTTTGAAGACGTTTCGCTTCCCATCCAAGAAGCTTTTTTCAATTCCAAATGACAGGAATAGCGTTGAGTTAAAGGTTTTCTACAGCAGCCCAACAAAGCCGTGTTTTCATTTTAAAAACATGTAAATTGAAACGGTCGAAATGGGTCGTAAAAAAAAATAAATCCAAACAACCAAAGTCAAATTAGAAAAAAACGCAAAAAAATAAGGCAGAGGTATATTTCTATATGCTGTAAATCTTTTTATCAGTGTATCTGTCAGTTTTCCAAAAACCTCTGAGGAAATTAATATTTACAAATAAAGGATCCACTAAATTGACCAAATACAGTAAAGGGCATTGTGAAGGGCTGCAGCCTCCTTACAAGCAGAAATCACATCATTTCCCTGCTGACATACTATCAAGTAATCATGTGAAAAAAGGACGCCTTAAAAATTCTCCCATTTTCAAGAAGGAAATCTGACCAAACATGTAAAGATCAATGAGTCCATTCTGCGTGTCATAAAACTGAAGGAAGGACTGTCTTCCTCGTGATACCGAGGGGGCTTTAGCAATGCCAAGGGCCACAGCTCAGCACAAATACATCCTTTTTTAATGGTCTTCTCTCTGCAGCTTCTAGGCATGCACACAAAAACCGATACACAAGGCTAGTCACATTCTTATCTGAATTTTAGGCAGTGAGAAAATTGTTCCTGTTGGATAAGCGTGATTTTAGGGATGCCAAAAAGCAAGCAAGCTGATGTAATTATGAAGTTTTTTTTTTGTTTTTTTTCAGAACCACTCTGTAGGCCTTTGCATCACTGTTTGGTCTGTTTTTCTTTTGTTTTTCTTAACCATAAGTGTCGTGAAAATATCCCAATTCGGTGATAATAAAAAGTTCTAAAACAGATGCTAACTCTATCACTGTAAATGGCTAAAAGGTAACAAGTTGTGGTAAGATTCTTTATACAAATCATTAGGATTTTGTAGCTTAGAACATGGTAACCAGAGACTGACAGTAACTGGACAATGTTTCTGGAGACATCAAGCCCTGAGATCTTGTTACATCCCTAACAGGTAGTGGAGATTTCTGAGTACTTTCACCTTCTTCGCTGTATCGTTTAACATCTTTCATTCCTTTATAGTTTGCCTCCTTTTAGGTTTTCATTCCTGACCAGCGTATGCTTAACTTGTTGTCCTCCTTATTTCTAAGCCTCCAAATTAGCTCCTATCTGACAGAACTGTCATTTCATTTTTCACCCTGAAACAACTCATCCTGTTTTGCTATTGTCTTTGAGTGATTCTGGCTGTGGTTTAGTGGGTTGGCCTGAGAGGGGGTGGGGGTTAAGGAAGGCCTTCGGTGCGAAAAGCAATAACATGTTCTTTAAAAGAACAGATGGAAAGTCTCTGCTCATCCTTCCCTCCCCTCCTTCTTCCCCAAGCCTATCTTAATGATATGTCTTCTCCAAATATACAACTCCTTTCATGAGAATTTCCACTCTGCTTGCTGCTCTCTACAGGGCTCAGAGCATATGGGTGCCAGGGGGAGTGGAACTGCTTCTTCTTCTCCTTCCTCCTCTTCTCCATCTTATCAAATGTGTGTGAGTGGGTGTGAGCCTGCAACCTTCCTTTGCTTTGTGTGTCCATTATGACCGAACAATGATATGCTTTGCGAGTCAGCCTGCGTACAGTCAGCATTTATTTGCTCACTCTCATTGGAGCCACTTGGCTTACCGGGCACACGTGTGAGCTCACGCAGTGCGGTCATACAGACAGATGTGTGTGTGGGTGAGTAATCGAGGTTCAGTAACATCCCCCTCCCGGTCTGAACATCTTCCTCCCAGATCTCCTTAGACAAGAACAAGAGGGAGACGAAGAGAGGAGGGAAAGGGAGTGAGAAGCAACGGGGTGGAAGTTCGGAGAAAATGTGGAAACGGATATCTGGAGCCCCAGGGTTCAACAAAGAGATTAGAGCAAAAAAATATTCTCTAGAAACCATTTTCTGGTCCTCCTGTTACATGTCTAACCTACAGTATACCCAAACCATTATTGTGGAAAAAACAGAAAGAGGGCTGTGAAAATGGTTTAAACGTAAATGTAAAACCAAAGGTTCTTTTATTGTCCATCAATAAACATTAAACTGCATCAATAAAATAAATGTAAATACAGCACAACCTTTTGTTGGTAATCAATAAAAAGGTAAACATTTTAAAACAAATCTGATTTTATGACGAGTCCTTGAAAAACAAACCAAACAAATCTGATTCAAGATGGCCATAAAAGTTGCTCATAACAACAGGAAGGTAAACGAAAGCACTGATAGACATCAGATATCTGGATTTTTGCCCGGGTTTATGCTTTTCTGGTCAGTATATTAAAGTTTTTGTTAGAAACTCAGAGCCCTATA